TGGAATCTAGAGAACTGTAGAGGACCTAAATTGCTAGAGCGTAGTTTCCACCAATTGGAGGTAGGACACCATGGCCATATTACTCGCGAGCATGTCTCGAGCTCTCTGCTATGTCGGGTCCTCCGTAGATCATACCCATGAAGACCTCGTTGGGCTTTAGCAGAGCTTATTGAGTTGCATTCTATGCTTAGCTTAGGGCCTGGTTGCTTTGCTCGCCAGGATTTTCGTGAGCTGGTTTTGCCTTAACAAATTCTTTTAGGTGACCTCTTCTTATCAAGTCTTCAATGGCGTCCTTCAGAGCTTGGTAATCATTTGTGTTGTGCTCGACGTCCCTATGGTACTGGCAATACTTCTATCGATCTCTTCTGCATGGAGCCCTCCTCATCCTTTTTGGAGTCGGTAGTCTCTTTGCCTCTAAGGATACTTCATAAATGTGGGCGAAGTCTTGTGTAAGGGGGGGTGTATTCTGCATACCGTGAAAAAGGTTGCATGTTCCTGCGGTTATCTATTCTCTATTTCTTTTAGAACCTGTTGTGATCCCTGTCATTGCGATCTTGGCCCCTACGCTTATCTGAACGGCGATCTTGTCGCCTTTCCAGGGCCCTCTACGTTAAGCTTCTGGCCAGTGCTGCCAACAACTTTCTACCCGCTGGTATTTTGTAGCCATTTGGTAGAATTTGGTCAGACTTACATGACCTTCACTCTAGAGCCCTTTCCACCGCTTCGTGTTTGACTTGATCCCTGTGATCAACAAAGTTCGGATGGATTCTTTGGGGGCATCAATGACCTTTGCCTGCTCATTATGGAACCTCGTTAGGTATGACGTTAGTGTTTCGTCTCTCTCTTGGCGGATGTTGCTCAAGTAGCCGAGCGACATTGCGAACTGTCTCCTCGCCTAAAATTACTGTAAGTATAACGAGGAAAATTGTTGCTAGGAGTTGATGGAGTTCATCTTGAGCCTTTTATACCACCTCTTAGCATCTCCAACAACGTGACTATGAAGCATCGACATTTCGCTAAGTCATTGACCTAGTGTAGCTCCATCAGGCCATTGAAATTATCGAGGTGATCTCTAAGGTCCCCTCTTCCATCGAACTTGCTTTTTGGCACCCTGAATCTTTGTGGAAGCAAGGCCTGACAAACTTCCTCTATGAAGGGGGAACTTACTACTTCCTCTGCCAGGTTGTTCTGGCGAGCTTTTAGATTCTTCTGCACTCGATCTAAGTCTTCATTTTGGTTGCCCTGGCTGGCTCTGTTAAGCCTTACCTCGAGCAAATGAGTTCGCAAGTCTGTTGCTTGCGAAGCTCCTCCAATGTGCGCGTTGACGTGCAAGGTCGATTCATGATGGCTAGGTTGATAAGTGCTATCATGCTCATCAATACGTTGCTTGTGACGTCGGTCATTGCCAGATTAACGCACGTAGCTTGCTTCACGAGCTTGCGAAGATCAATCTTGTCTTGAGCATCGGTTAAAACTAGCACTTTGATGTTAAGGGTACCATCGAGCTTCTCGACAGTGCCTGTTGCCTTTGCTTTCCCTTTATGGCTTCTTTCTCGATCGCCTCCCGGGGTTTGTTTGCCTACAGGACTCACGCTCGTAAGCAGAGTGTTGCCTGCACAGTTGGGGGTGTTGATCGCCCCTTGGCATTGACGAGACGGACTGTCCATCTGTAGAATTCCTACCTGTTAGGGTGGCATTAGTGAAACGCAGTTGGTTAGGGTTTTGAGTAACTGGTTGTTGGTTCTGCAGCTCGACCACGTTCTATTGCACTGCCTGTGCAATAATCGTTCTAATCATTTCCATCAGCTGGCCATTCTCGGGGTTTAATGTCCTTGCCCCCTGATTGTTCGAGGTGTGTTGAGCTAGCGATACAGGTGGTCGGCATCCAGCAGTCTCATGTTGTACCTCCTAGTGGGTAGTTTCCACATTCTCGAGGTTCTCGGTGGTAGTTTTTGATCTGGTGTACACCATTTTGGGCTTGGAATAGGTAGGTTACAGTGAATGTTTGCCGAAATCTTTGAGATGTTGGCGAAGGCCCTCCTTTTAGCGCCAAAATGTTATTACAGAATTCTACACCAACCAGCGAGATCTAATCGACCTTGCCAGGATCGAAACTGATGTGTGCGTGATTAAGTATAATCAGCGATGTATGTCTGAAAATACAATAAAGCAAAGACAATGAGAGTTTTAAAGTGGTTTGGTGAGGTTAACTCTGAAGCCTATGTCTACTGTTTTTGTATTTGCTGTGAGAGCTTACAATGTAGTTTCTATGAAAAATTCATAACCCTTTCCTCATTGTTTGAGGGGGTTTTTATACAAGGTTTGTACAAAGGAAAAAGCGAAATTAAGGGGATTACAATTGATCTGAATTGCAATCCGATATTCTTGTGATTGGGTGCTGTGACTGCGCAGGGATCGTTGTTGATCTAGTCATTCCCGCAATATTTAGGATTTGAAGTAATCCAGGGATTGATTGAATGATTGCTTGAGTTGTTCGCAACTAGCTTATGTTGGGTCGAGCTATAGCTCGACGAGCTTATGCTAGGTCGATCAATCGTCACTGCCGAGCTCATTCTGGGTCGAGCTATATCCTCACATCAACCCAAGCTTGGTGGAAAAATCACAAACAACAAAAAGCAAAAGCTCAAAGATAAAAGACAATATACTTCCTTTCTGTGGAATCTTTTGTAGAAACATAGTTTAGTATCTATTTATAGGGGAATTTTTATAAGTTTTCTTTTGGGTTTTTAATGTAACCTTAAAACTATTTTAAATTAGTAGCATATAAAAGTTCATGTGGAGCAGATTTTGGATTTGGACTAAATTTAGTTTTCAGTAGATATTTGGGAGTCCCTGTGCTTCCATTCGGAATGGTCTAAATATGAATCTAATTTTTCATTAAATAGAGGAGTAATCCTTGTTGTGCAATTACTATCAATAATCATTCTTTTTTTTCTTATCACTAGGGTCTCCAGACGAACTTTCGCGTATTTCAACTAATCCTCCAGACCTTAAAGTTAACAGTCAAGTAAATCCCCTCAATGATCACCACTATTAAAGCCTGTGAGGACTCCAACCTAGGAGACTATATTAGATCCCCCTTATACAAAGAAGTAATCTTTGATGTGCAATTAATATCAATAAGCACTTTTTTTTAAAATAACTGGGAGTGTCCGGACCAGCTTGCAGCACCCCAACTAATCCTCTAGGACCCTAAAGTTAACAGCCGAATAAATCCCCTTAGCGGCTACCCCTGTTAGGGTCTGTGGAGACTTGAACTCGAGAGACCATATTAGATCATCTTCTACTCTTGTGGAGACTCGAATTTTGGAGACTATGTTGATCCTCCTTTTGCTTTTTTACCATCAGGCTACCTAGACCTATGATAATTACAATAAAAAAAAAAAAAAAAAAAAAAAAAAAAAAAACATTTCTTTACTTGTTGAAAACAAATTAATGCCAATGATATATAATGTGAAAAATTGAAAAGATGAATAGTTAAAAGGAATGAATTTCGTGTTAAGAGTAAGAATCTGGTATGTAAGAGATGATTTTTCATTCACTGGTTTAGCAAATTACTATACCTGAGGCTGAGGAGGAGATAAGCGAGTCAAGTCCGAAATAATTCCTATAATTACGACACAGAATTTGTGTCTGAGTTGACTGGCAGCATCATCAAATTAATCTGAATTCATTCCTATAATTACGCTGCAGATTTACGCAGTGGAGCTGATTTTGGAGTTGCTAATGGCTGTTTCCTTGACATTTCCAACATGCTTCGGAACAATCAAAAAGTCCTGAATTGATGAACTCTTGCAACACTCAAAGACTGATGGCGTAAAATTCGAGTCTTAGTAAAGTGGATAGATGATTTCCAGTCTTCACAAAGACTTTGGGACACTGAACAGTCTCTACGTGATGAAGGATCTTGTATGAAGTCTTCTCAACGTCAAAGATACGGTAATAGTTCATGACACGTGTTTTATTTTACAGCAATAAGAACGACAGAAAATATTTTGGGAGTCCTTTGTGCTTCCGTTTAGAATGGTTTAATCTGAATTTAATTTTGAAATGAACATCAATGGAAATGATGTGTAATGTGGAAAAGATGAAAAGTTGAAATGAATGGAATTTCCTGCCGCTAGCATTCCAATTTCCAAACATTCAGAAATGAATATCACTTGGAATTAATAATTCCCAAGTCTCTGTGAAAGATTGGAAATTTATGAATCTGCCGTCAAACTTTTTGACAATCATCTATCCACTTTATTAGGTCTTGCTTTTTATGGAGTGACTTTTTTACTGTTGCGAAATTCATTTATTCTAATTATTCATTTTTTGTTTTCCACATATAGAATGCATTAGCTTTAATTAATCGATTTTCTACTCAGTATATTATATAATTGCACATCAAAGGATCACGTCTCTGTTTAATTATGAAAAATTAGGTTCATATTAAATCATAATATGAATAACATTTACTATTCATTTTAAAAATTCACAACTCGTTTTGAATTATTATATAAGATAAGGATGAATGCTATTTCATTTAATAGGCAATGCCACCTATAAAATCTGAATTGTGAAATGAGACTAAAATCTTCGTAGCTATACTGATTATATAGAGAAAATTGACAATTTCTAAGTATGATGATTTCACCCTTATTGTATTTTCTGTACGGCCAGCTTCATACACATGAAGATATTGATAATTATGTTCCAAAATAAGGAGAAAAACTCTTTCTACAGCAACAAGAACCAGAGAAAATTTGGGCTTCTATTTAGAATGGATTAATATTAATTTAATTTTGAAATGATTATCAATAAGCATTTCTTTACTCAATGAAAAGTCGATTGATGGAAAGGATGTACAACGTAGAAAAGATGAAAAGTTGAAATGAATGAATTTCCTACAGCCTTTCAAAATTTCAAAAAGTACTCTGTGTCTTGCAAAGACTCAATGTCTCATGGGTAAAATATAATACTAATAAAGTGGATAA